TTCCCCCCCCCCCCCCCCCCCCCCTCGCCCTTCCATCATCCTCGTTTTTTGATTCAATTTGATTACGAAATAGAAAATCATATAAATATGCTTACTCTTCTACCACTTCTCCTCATTAGCTACCAATGTCTTGCCAACATGTTGTTACGGATTTCGTGTTTTGTTTTGTGGTTCTGATCGTTATTACTTGTTTTATTTCTAAGACACTTTAAGGTTAATTGGTAAATACCTAGAAGATTTCATCTTCACTAATATTTGAAATATCTAAAATACCCTGCACCACCCCACCCCCTAACCATTCCTGGATTGAAAAATTACAAAAAAGTCTACTCACCATGATGTGGGTGATGATCTTCACGAATTGAACTAATGGCTGTCGAAGATGGAACAATAGAAACGGTATTGCCAGTGGTTGTCGAAGATTTCTGGATCTGGCCAGATTGCATCATATAGTTCTTAGCTTCAGAATAAACGTCGACAGTTTCTGGATTCATCTGCAGTAATCCATTGTTGCCATAGAGTAGTCCAAGTTCCCGGGCCTCGTTCTCTTCTTGGGCTTGTTGGCGTCTCAAAGCTACCTGCGCCGCCATCACCCTTTGTCGTTCTGCTATCAACGTACATTTGGCACAGACGCAGTCACGCCATCGACAGTAACGTTTATGTCCTTTTAGTGCGGAAACGACTCCGTGATTTCGACAACGAGCACATTTTGGGGTACGTGGATATCTATCAGAAGCCTTCATAAAGATCGGCGGCGCGTATCCTGGACTGGAAACATCTCCGGAGCCTTCGTTTCTTCCTCTTTCTTCATCCGAGGAGCTCATTTTCTCGAGTGTCTAACGTTCGATCTGAAACAACGGCCGCTTGTAAATAAATTGTCAATATACTAACACTGGATATTAACCAAGTTTAACTTCAATTAGTAGGTGATTATTGGTCTAATAAAACCATTAATTCAGTAAACACTGAGCTAGTCTGTGATATTAACACTGTACAATATGTTAACAACGGTAATATTGTCGGTTAGTCTTTCAACTATGAACAGTCAAATTCTTAACACTAGGAAGTCCCATCAGTATCGACACTGTTCACAGTTCAACGTTCACTCAAACACTGTTGGATGTCCTAAAGACCATGTAGAGTATAACAGGTAATATTGTCAATATCCACTATATAAGTGTCGATATTAGGTGGGGGTGACGACTGAGTAACGACTATAATAGCAAGTTTCAATCTCAACACGTCCATAAATCAACAATTTCTAATGTCTCTGTTACAGCTAACTATATTATAGTAATATCAAGTCGTGATACGCCTTCTACCGACAGTTAACATGTCAGCGACACTGTCATTACATTTACCTTTGTAATACGACCGCACTGATTGGCCAGGTATAAATACGGTGGGCGTAAACTTGTGATTAGTGGGCGGAACTCGTGAATAGCGGGCGGTGTCATTACAATGTGTCACTCTTTTGTAATTGTGAGAAATATGTCGTATTTTGTATCAACAATGTCTTCACTTTCTCACGAACGATATATTATTATATTATCATATTTTCCGCCCACAAATTTAGAGAAAAGTTCGAATATTTTACGTTTTTTTCACCTTAATTTCGTTTGTAGATGAGTAAAATTTCAAATTCGGGGTTGATTGATCGGTGAGATAATTGATCCTAATCGATAGTAAAATCTGGGAAGGGATTTTAAAAGATATTTTAGATGATAACATAATCAATTATTTTTTGTTACTTCAAACGAGTTTAAAATCTGAGGTAAGCTTTGACCTCGTCCCTCCTGTTAAAATACTGTGAGAAATTTCGACCATTCCCAAGTTTTGAAAAGCATTAATATGAATCCAAGCAACATTTCAGTTCTAAAAGTATGACTAAACGGAAGGATGACAAGGTTCGTTGACACGTGGCGTTATCAGATTATAGGATCTGAATTGAGCTAAAAATTGTATGAAATGAAATGGTGTTTGAAGTCCTACATTTCTGCAAGATTATGTTCAAGAAAAAGGACAACGCCATGCAGTGATATGACTGAAAATTTGAAGCAGTCAACAGCTTACAAAATATTGAGCTATCATGATAAATATAAAGCCATGAAATACAGCTATGATACGCAGTTACCATAGAGATCTAGCAAGTTAATCAGCTATGATGTACAGCATATATATAAAGTTGCAATATAGAGATATACAATATAGAACTACGATAGAGAGAGTCAAATATATAGATACAATATAGAGCTACTTTATAGAGCTAAGAAACAGAGCTACGATCGGCAGCCAGCCAATTAAAGACTAAAACAAAGCTATGATACAGAGCTACAATATAGAACTACGATAGCAGGAGTCAAATATATAGATACAATATAGAGCTACTTTATAGCTAAGATACATAGCTACGGTCGGGAACAGAGCATAATGCACAGTTGTAATATAAAGTTACAATATACAGCGATGAAACAAAGCTAAGATACAGAGTTACTATGATGAGCATTAACATAAACTTATAATACAGAGCTTACAAGGGGAGCCACAGAACTAAGATGTGTAGTTACGATACAGAGCTACATAGAGCCATGATAATGAGCTGTTATATAGGTTACAATATATAACCGTTTCGCAGCTACGATCAGCTGTACTGCCGTGCTGTGGGATTTAAACCAAATAACCACAGTCAAATCGATAATATTGATATAAATATCCGCTCTGTTACCTTAATCATGTCATCTGATACCTTGTTACACTTAATATAACTCACTGGTTCAACTAATTTGCATAATGTCAAATTTCTGTATTGACACGATCACCATATGATCAAATACAGGCGGGAAACTTCAGCACGTTTGTTCTGGTACAATAACGATTTATTTACACTTCGCCTTGAAATAAAAAATTAGCAATCT